GTCCTTTCAGCCACTACAACTCACAAACCAATTGAGCTAAGGATCTATATTCGACTTCTGAAGAAGATCTTAAAACATTTGTTTGTTTCTTTGACTTCCAGGTAAGTAGACATCCACCAAGCACAGTTTAGTAACCAGTCACTGATCTCCTGGCCGGACAACAAGCCCAGTCTGGATCAGAAAAGCCTTGCAACTCCAAATTGGACTTCATGTTAAATAGCAAGCCTTGTCCTGTGAATGTTTCAAGTATCTCAAAAACCCAAAATGCAGCTTGTAAATGTTCAGAATATGGGTCTTTCTGGAATTGGCATAGTTGTTGAACCCAATTCGAGAAGTTAACTGCTGCATCTATGGTGACTTACTAACATGAATCTTTTTTTTAGAACTTTTATTGGTTAATTATTAACCGTCAAAATAATTGCTAACCGAATTGATATGAGACGTTTAACCGATAAGAGTTATCGGTTCCGTTATCAGTGTGAACTTTTCTTATTATTGTTTAGCTGCTACTCATCATATGAGTTAGTGTTTAACCGAAATCGAATTAATTAGCACTCCTAAATATGATATAAATCTGATAAATTATTATTTGCTTAATAGAGATGAAAATGTATTCTTTTTTTTGTGCCATTCAACCGATCTCAAACGAGATGGAGATAAGATCCACACAACGTCAATTACAAACTACGTAACCAAGACACATATTCGAACCTCGACAGGACCCGAGGCGACAAACTCAGGGACTTTTTGGCCACTAAATGAGCCTCCCTGTTCCTATGACGACCTACGAAACGTAGATCACAATACCCCCCAAAACCAGCCAACAAGGCTTTGATCTCACGCAAAATTGCGCCAACCTGAGAATCATTGAAATCCCCTGCCAAACATTTATCCAGGATAACCTTCGCGTCGCCCGTAATAAGAAGCGATGTGAGTTGTCTTGTGCTGCATTCCTTGAGACAATCCCGAAGAGCTAGGGTCTCCAAAACATGAGCATCTGTGATCCCTGCATAAATGGTTGCCACAGCTGATGACGCCACTCCACCGCCCTTGATTCCAAGCAGACCTGTTGCTGATCAAAAAGAACCATACACCTGTTCTTCCAAATACGCCAAAGCATGGCTATAACTTGCAGGTTAAAATAAGAATTATCCACCCTCCCGCTCTCATGAAAAAGCACCTCCCGAACCATACCTGCAAATGAACGCTTATCCCAACCTGCAAGCTGTGAACGAAAACCACCCAAGCTCCACAATTTTCGAGCAAATGAACAATTAAAAAACAGATGCATGTTCTAACGATTCCACCTTCCGACTACAAACCGGACAAATCGGAATTATATCAAGACCCTGGAGAGATAAGGCCTCCCTAGTTGGCAGTATCCGATTAAGACATTGCCAAACAAAAAATTTAAGCTTTGGTGGCAATTTCAAATTCCACAACCAAAGCCACATATCATGATCCATTTGATTTACACGAGGCCTACCAACTCCAGAACGATAGCATTGAAAAGCAAGATGATAAGCTGACCGAACCTGGAAAACACCTGATGGCTCAAAATGCCATATCAACTTATCCGGGATTGGGATTTGGATTTGCGGAAGAGGAATTGAAGAGATGAGCTTGACAGTATCACCACTGAAAAACAGACGCAAGGCTGCCATATTCCAAGTGCAAGATCCCGGATCAATCAACGCCGAAACAAACGGAGAAGAAGCAGGGGCACCAGGTCTACGAGAAGGAATCGACGGCGGAGACTTGGGTAACCAAGCATCTTCAAACACCCGTATGGAAAAACCATTACCTACCTGCCAACGCAACCCACGAGAAAGTAAATCTCGACCATGTAGGATACTTCGCCAGCCCCACGACGGATTTGAGCCACACGAGGCATCCAGCAAATTATGATGACCAACAAAATATCGCCCTTTAAGAATACGAGCCAAAAGAGAGGCCGGCTCAGTGAGGATACGCCAAGCTACTTTAGCCAATAACGCCTGATTGAAGCACCCAAAATCACGGAATCCCAATCCACCTTCATGTTTACTGCCACAAAGAGATTTCCATGCTATCCAATGAAATCTACGCTGACCTTGAACCGCCCCCCACCAGAAACGAGCCATATGGGCATTCAAGCGTCGGATGAGATCTGCAGGTAACCAAAAGCAAGACATAGTATATATAGGAAGAGCCGCAGCCACAGATTTAATTAACACTTCCCTCGCAGCAATAGACAGTGTCCTGATTTTCCAACCCTGCAAAACAGACATGAGCTTCTCCTCCATGAACCTAAAAGTTTCCTTTTTCGATCGCTGAACAAGTGAAGGACGTCCCAGATACCGATCAAGGAGGCCAATAGAACCAACCCCAAGCAACGTGCCTAGCTCACTCTGAGTAGAGGAATCCAAATTAGGACTGAAAAAGCAGCAGATTTTGCTAAATTCAACCGTTGACCACTGATTCCTTCATACTCGCGAAGAAGAGCCATAAGAAGCTGACATTCACGACGAGAAGCACGAAGAAAGAGAAAAGAATCATCAGCAAATAGCAAATGAGAGACTACAGGAGCTGAAGGCGAAACACGAACACCTTGCAATTCCTTAGAACTTATCTTCTCCTTGATCATGGCAGTAAAACCCTCTGTACAAAGAGCAAACAGAAGCGGGGAAAGCGGACCCCCTTGACGGAGGCCCCTAGTCGAAGAAAAATAACCAGCCGGAGTACCATTGACCAAAATGGAAAAAGTGGGAGTACAAACGCACTCTTTAACCCAATTAATCCAATCAGAAGAAAACATTTGGGTTTGTGGGTATTGCTAACTAGTACGGGCCAGCACTGTCCTAGGGCCCAATGGGCTCTCCCTTTTTGATTGGCAAGCTATTGATAGCCCATCTTCCTTTGTCTTTTCTGCTTATGATTTTTGTGATTATAACTTATATTTTCTTTAATACATGATTTTGATTCTGAATAGACCACATGTACTAGTTCTCGCCCATTAGCATAATGAATGGACAGTGCATGTATGAGGAAGAATTGAGAAGTGCACGAAAGGAGCAATCAACGGCTTGAACACGCTAGGAGTCAATGAAACCAAAATGCAATTCATGAGAAAATTGGCCTCCATTATTGGGATTGGGAGTGGGCGGTTGTGCTTACTCGAGATACGATAAAAATATTAGAGGTTGTGATGCACTTATATGTTGTTTGTGCACTAAATTTCTTCCATTACAAATTTAGCGATTGAGTAGGCAGAAACACATAGCTATATATATTGGAAAGTCTTCTTTAGCGGATAGAATGAATTGTTACCTGACGATTTGTATGATGACCCAAATAAACAATATATGAATAAAAATCTCATTTATAATGAGTTAATAACCATATCTAAAAAACCAGGGAAAGTTCCTTGTATTACATGGGGAAAAAAACAAGAGAAACTTCCTTTTCACTTATGTGTTGTGAGGTTTACGTCGGAAAAAACAATGGAAAGTTCCTTGGTACATTAGTGGTTGTCTACCTCCAATAATAAGAGACATTTTGGGAAGGTGCCTAAGGAAAATCGGCGTGGGCTTGAGCCAAACTGAGTGTGGTCTCAACAAGTGGTACCGTAACTAAATGTTTGAGAGTTCGGATGGCGATGCACGACGATTGGCAGGTCAAATGGACTATCTTTGGAGAGGAGGCCACGACACTTTTGATAGATGCCTTTTGAGAAGATGCCGAACAATATATTCGTATGCCACTTAACTCAAAACCATCAATATCGTACTAATGACTAATGAGTCATATTTGATCTTAACATGTACCGTATATTTGATCTTAACATGTGCCTGCTGCTGTTCACACGAGTATTATTCAAAAGAACAACTCTAGTTCTATACCGGCAGAGAGCTAGCTAGGTTGTTTAATGGGTCAAGATAATGGATTAAAGAATCTCAACACCGACTTCATTCTTCTCAACCGTCAACCTAATAACTACCAACAAATCCACTAACTTAACTTTTCTGTATCTACCTTCTTCAACTTGGCTACTATAGCTAGCTAGTAGTTAGAGTAGGAAACGTCCTAGAATATGAACATCCTGCATCCATGAATTCAGAATTGGAGGCTCCCCCAAAGTTCTAGATATACGCAAATGACTTGGACCAGCTCAACGCAATATTATTGAGTCAATCAAATAAGGTTAACCTACTCGAAGATGAGTACCACGTTGTCTCCTTCTTTTTCTGATAAAAGTACAATATTTTCCTCTTATATCATTTTCAAGCAAAGATTTTAACATTGATATAATATCTTAGCGTATACGTTCAAAATTATTTATGCACCCTATAAATATCCTATATATTCATGAGAGTAGGGCACCGATTTGGTCTGATTTGGTTAACCAAATTTTTGCATTGGAAAATCAAAGCAGGCAAATTTTTTCAACATAAAAACAGTTAATGTTCTAATCGGCTGTAGATTAACCAATAACCGATAAGGATCTTATCAGTTTTGGTTTGGTTTGGAGAAACAAAAAACAACAACAAAAACTAAGCTCATAATTTGAGAAATCCAAAAAATCAATCAAGAAAAGACAACAAGCATGAAAATATGAAAGAAGTCTATTACACATACACAAGTTGGTGACACCACCTATTGTTGATGGGTATTAATTTGGTTAGCGTATTAATTATCAATTTCTTATTGGTTTCTCATTGCTCAAAACCACTAAAATATTTTAAATAAAAATAAAAAAAATGTTGAAACTTCTTTATCTGCTTGGTTTCTGTGAGAGCATACAATATAATTAAAGTGTGTGTATATGTAGTTGATGATCACCTTGAATTTAAAAGGGTAGCATAGAATTACCTCAAGTCGTCTATTTCTCATGTAATATTTCCAAGTCATCGATCTATAAGAATCATGAATTGAGAACAACAAAGGTTATCCCATCTACTATTATATCCTTATGCTAACCACTAACCAGCTAAGCTGATCATCCAACTTCCACAGCACCAATGGCCCCGGGCCGGGCAACGCCCGTACCCGCACCCGCCAAACTCCATCCTCCGCCACCACATCTGCCGCCGCCGCCGCACTTCATCTTATTCCCGCTCATGGCACAAGGCCACACGATCCCGATCATCGACATGGCCCGGCTGATCTCCGACCGCGGTGCCTTCGTCACCATAGTCACCACCCCTCACAACTCGACCCGGTTCGAGTCCGTCATCCGTCGGGCCAACAGCTCGGCCCACCGGGCCCGGCCCGAGATCCGGATCGTCAGGCTCTACTTTCCTTGCCAGGAAGTCGGCCTCCCGTTGGGGTACGAGAATCTGGACGTGCTGCCGTCACCGGACCTGTTGAAGAAGTTCTACGAAGCCCTCGATCTCCTTCAGGGCCCGCTCGAGTCTGTGCTTCGAGAGACGGATCCGCCGCCGAGCTGTCTCATCTCCGACCGGTGCTTGTCGTGGACGGCTGAGATGGCTCGGCGGCTGAACATCACGCGGATCGTGTTCCACGGGATGTCTTGTTTCTCGTTGTTGAGTGCTGTGAAGATACGGGCACATAAGGCTCATCTCTCGGCGGCGTCCGACGAAGAACCCTTCCTCGTCCCAGGTAAGATATGGAGATTGTGTTGGATGTGTAGCTTTTGAGTTCCAATTCATGTAGGGATGGTAGAAATATGTAGAGTAGTGGATGTCTGTTCGAATTCAATTTCATTGGGTCGGGTAAAAGTTGAATCTAAAAGATTTTGGGTGGATATGATAAAAACTCGAATATGAATATTGCGGGTACCGAGTGGTAGTGATTTCTTCAATTTTTGAACCCTGTGTAGGGATGTGCAACGAGTTGGTCCGTATCGATTTGCATTGGACCAAAGCGATACTTGAACCCGCACCACACCGAACCAGATATAATATGGTCTGATGCTATGTGCTTTGAATTTTATAAATGTTGAAGAAGAGTGGACTAAATTGACATTTGGACCGGACTAAATCGAACCGAATCATATCAAATGCACTGTTGGTCCAATCCTTGGACCTAATATGTATTTCTCTATTAGACCGCGGTTCTCCAGAGTTTGGTCCGGTCCAGACCGAACTGAACCGTTGCACATCCTGCCTATGTGTGTATTTTATTAGCAGTATTCTTTATTTTCTTATCATATTTGATATTTTATATACATATAATATTATTATGAAATTGCGTTCTTCGACTAATTTTCTTCGTTCTAGTGATTTATTATTCTAGTTTTCACTGATATAAATTCAATATCTCTGCAATTGCTAACATGTTTGTTAAAGTTCTTAAGAAAAATTATTGTTCGTGATTAAGAATGGATATCCAAAATTCAATCAACTATAGTATGTACATAATTTTGATTGTTCACTTTAAGTAGGGTAATGAATATACGTGGTGGTTCTATGTTACCAAAAAATTATATGTTTATATTGCCTTCAGGCATGCCGCAACCATACTACGTGTCACGATCCCAGCTGCCAGGCTCGTTCCTCCGGCTACCGGACCTCGACGACGTCCGGAACAAGATGCAGGAAGCCGAGACGCAGTCGTTCGGCGTGGTGGCCAACACGTTCGAGTTCCTCGAGCACGGCTGCGCCGAAGAGTACCGAAATTCCGTCCGCAAGCGGGTCTGGTGCGTCGGTCCGGTCTCCTTAACCAACCGGTTCAACCTGGACAAGTTCGAGCGAGGGAACAACAACCCGTCGATCGACGAGGCCCAGTGCCTAACCTGGCTGGACCGAATGGAGCCCAGGTCCGTGATCTACGCCTGCCTCGGCAGCCTCTGCCGCCTGGTCCCGTCCCAACTGCTAGAATTGGGCCTGGGCCTGGAAGCCTCGGGCAGGCCGTTCGTCTGGGCCGTGAAGACCGATCGCCGGCCCGCCGAGCTGGACGACTGGCTCGTGGGGTCCGGATTCGAGGACCGGGTCAAGGGGCGGGGGCTAATCATCAAAGGGTGGGCCCCGCAGGTTCTGATCCTGTCCCACGTGGCGGTCGGCGGGTTTTTGACTCACTGCGGGTGGAACTCCACCGTGGAGGCGATCTGCGCCGGGGTTCCCATGGTGACGTGGCCGCTCTTCGCGGAGCAGTTTCTCAACGAGAAGATGGTCGTGGAGGTGCTGCGGGTCGGCGTGCGGGTCGGGGCGGAGACGGCGGTAAGGTTCGGGGACGAGGAGAGGGTGGGCGTGGCGGTGAGGAGGGAGGCGGTAGCGGCGGCGGTGGAGGCGCTGATGGACGGCGGCGGGGAGAGGATGGTGGAGCGAGTTCGGGAGCTGGCGGCGATGGCGAGGGAAGCCATGGATCCGGGCGGGTCTTCGCATTCGGATCTCTCGGATTTGATTGAAGCCGTCGTGAAGCGGCAAGCGGGTTCCCGCGCCAAAAATTGATGAAGGTTATTAAGATAAGCTTTCAAAATTAGATTAGGCTTAGCATTTTAATTTTGTCTTTAGGTTTTGGACTTTGGTAATGGACAACGGACCGTGCTGAAATTGATGGACGGTGGCAGGAATACATGTGGTCAGCCCAGCCCAACTCAGGGAAAGGCCCAATGAGGTATGGAGCACTTAATCGAAAACTATGATTACTTAACGAAATTTTGGTGGATGAAATTTACTCAACGAAATTGAGAGTTGGTTTGATTTTATGCAACTTTCATTTAGAGTTAGTTAAGAAGACGGTAAATAGTGGAATGGAAAACAACGATCGAGTTAAATGTTTGACACTTATGAAGAGATCATATGGTTAAACCTACAAAACTCATATAAAAATCGTTACGCACTTCAGCGCTTTATTGTCTGAAACCATATATAAAGGCACCTCCTTTCAACTAAAAAACTAACAAGTGATAAGCATTTTGTATATATCATAGTTGCCAAGTAACATAAGATTGGGATAGAAGTAACTGCGGTAAATGAGACATATTCAAATTATTAAATATCATATATGGTCAAATATATAGCTAACAAATTGATGATTTATCAACAAACGAATGATAAGCTATTAATCGATTAGCTTATAAGTAAGTTGTTAATTGAGGTGGCTCGCTAGCCATATTATCGAGCAAGCTTATAGATCAAAACGAGCTAGCTCACTAGACGAGCTCAACAAGCCCACAAGTCTAGCTGGCTCACGAGCCTTGCGAGCCGAACAAGACTTAGTTTAAACTCAACTCATTAGCAAACAAACCAATTGTCGAATGAGATTTTCCTAAGTCGAACACCAAACCACTCGTAAGTAGTTTGGCTCATTTGCAGCCCTATGTGTTTGTGACGGGCGAAAGCTCAGTAATTACTATATGATGTTTTTCCCCCTAACAAGTTGGTAATACTATAAATGTTCGTCGGCATAAAAGTAATATCCTTTCAACACTACTTTCCAAGATGCTCACGAGACACAATGCATCACTAGTTGTACAACGTACATGCCCACCCAATAACTACTACCGCATCTCGTTTACAAAACATCCACTTTCCACCGATTTCGCTTTTCGTGCATTGCCCTAATGAATGGTCGAAGAGGTGGCGAAAATAACGGTGTGTTGAATTGTATATGGCACCATAGTACCTTATAATACTCCAACAATAATGTAAAGTTAATTGTATGAAGTACTTGGCAAAAGTGCAATGAAAAAGAAAGCAATAGATCGATGGACGTGTAGAAGTACAAACATCATGCTAATCTCAAGGCCTTCAACCCCAAAGAAAAGGTGATTTAAGGTTCATGATCATGGAAAGACACTAGTTTGATGCTAACTATAAAGATATAGTGATTGAGACCTTGGAATGAACTAGGCTGAGTCTGAGTCGAGTTATATGGATGATCAAGCGAATTCAGACCGAGGCTAGTCAGTTGATTCTTTGACCAGTGCATCCTTACATTACTTTCATCGTCTAAAAGCTAACCGAAAGTTTGTGGTCATTCAAGACCCGTGATCATAGTCAGACGCTTCAAACATCCGTGTAAGGAGAAAAAACGATGACACAGGTCTTGAGATCATGGAAAATACATACTAGTCTTTTGTGCATGTTAAACCAATAATAGCTCATTGTTATAGTACAATTTCATGTATAGGGACTTGATTGTACATAATAGCGGCCGAAGCAACATAGCGAATGATATGATATCCATTCGTGGTGTGTTCATACTTCATACCCTAACAAGTAACAACTATTTATATTAAGGATTGGATCTAAAGGGCAATTAATGTTAGTGTGTCCATACGAAATTAAGACCTAATCATAAGCAAGCTTTGGTATTACTACATACTAACTAGTATATGCTTCCTCATGATGAGCAACTAGGATAGGAAAACAAGAACCAGAAAGGAAAGTACCAGAGACAAAGGAGAGGAGAAAAAGAAGGGCAATAAAAGACGAAGCAGCATATGCCATGGAAGATGCTTGAAAACATTGCAAAATGCCACCTTTTCCCCTCCTCTCACTCCCTCTCTCTGTTGCTTTTTTAGTGACCGCATCAAAAGTCATTCCCCCTTTTCATTGCCTTCACGACCCAATACAACAACAAGAAAAAAACCAGCTCCCTATATCATCCCAAGCACACTCTCCATTCCCAAACCCTCTTTTCCAGCACCACCACCCGCCGCTCTCACGGCGGCGGGCCACCGAGGCGGCTTCGGAAGTGGAAGATCGGAGCATGCAGCTGGTGGTGGTGGTGCAGCAGAACCCGCGTATCGGATTGGATTGAAAAAGGGGCATGCAGAGAGTTTCTTTCTCCTCTTGTAAAGGGCAACTTCTATCCTTTGGCAAAGTTTCCATTTTTTTCCATCGAGTTGGCTTCGTGAACTCCTTTCCCTTTGCAGTTTCAAACTATGTATGCTGGGAAGGAACCTTCAACAGGGCGAGCAGATTATTATTAATGTTGCTATTATACGTGTGTCTAGTTATATTGTGTTGATGATCCTCTGTTTTGGTTTACTCTGTTTATGGTGAGCATTGTGTTGTGTGTTTGCTTTCTCAGTGCAATAACTGCTGTCAATCTACAGGCGCTTGTGTACTATTTTTGGTATTTCTATTCACCCCTTGTAGGCCTCGTCGCCAAAATGTTTGTTTGAATGTTCTATTATTATTATTATTACTTCCGGTTTGTGTTGGTGTTTACTAATAGATATGTCAAATAGATACTGACACATCATTATCTGTCTGATCTGATTAACAAAATAAAACGATAGGGAGAGGATATTGCAAACTATTTAAGGAGTAGTTTGAATGGCGAACATATCATTTTTCGTTTCAATTCACTTATCCAATCACAAAGACAGGGAAAATTTTAAGGGTTGGGTGATTGTGTAATGAGTTATTATAAGAATGAAATAACTCATTAAATGGTTTCAGGGTATTTGTGTGTTATTTGTGATGAGTTATTATAAGAATGAAATAACTCATTAAATGGTTTCAGGGTATTTGTGTGTTATTTGTGCAAATGGTATATATGGTTATGTTGTTTGATTGGATAAATAAATGAGTTATTTTATCTGTGATATTCGATATACCATAATGGCCTTCACTTTAATAACCTCCTATTTCATGGATGTATAGATTGGAAACAACAACCTTTGTAATTACATATCACAATCGCAATTTAATTTCACAAGAAATCATATCAGCTTTTTTGTACTCATTGCAGAAAATAGTCTAGATAAACAGGAATAAAAAAGACAAATATAATTATGTACTCATTGCAGAAATCATATCAGCTTTTTTAAGGACATTTTCATACTATTTTGCCAGTTTTTTTGAAAGATCATTTTTCTTGGATTTTGAAAGCCACGGATTAGGCCCGAGACTATTCTTCATCGATGATTAACTCTATTAAGCACTGATTTGGGTCGATTATTTTCGGTCCCATTTTAGGCAAATTCCAAAGGAGTGTACTATCACAGATTTTAGGCGATTTTTTCGAAAAGCCATTTTACTTGGATTTTGAATGATTCACGGATTCGGACTGAAGCTATTCTCCACCAATGATAAAGTCATAAATCGCCAATTTGAGAGGATTTTTTCAGAGAGCATTTTCGTAATTTTTGGAAAGTCATTTTCCTTAGATTTTGAAGGCTACATATCAAGGATTTGGCCTAATGTTATTCTTCGCCGATGATTAAGTCTATTAAGCACCGATTTGGGCAGATTTTTTCATGAGCTATCTTTGACAGATTCCATAGGGGTACCATCACAGATTTCAGACAATTTTTGGAAAGTACATTTTCCTTGAATTTTGAAGGCTACAGATTAGGGATTCGACCTGAGACTATTCTCCACCAATGATAAAGTCTATTAATCGCCGATTTGCGCGGTTTTTTTTTCTAAGGGCATTTTTGTAATTTTCAGCTAATTTTTTTAAAGGTCATTTTCCTTAAATTTTGAACGCTACATATTACGAATTCTGCTTAAGGCTATTCTTCACTAATGATTAAGTCTATTAAGCACCGATTTGGGCGGATATTTTTGTTCCATTTTTGACAGATTCCAAAGGGTACCATCATAGATTTCGAAGGATGTTTCCGAAATGTCTTTTTTTTTTGGATTTTGAAGGCTAGAGATCACAGATTCGGCCCAAGGCTATTCTCCACCGACGATGAAGTCTAAGATGCTATTCTGCACCGATCATTAAGTTCATTGAGCACTGATTTGAACGGATTATTTTCGAATGACATTTCATATTTTTTTGCGCTTTTTTCGAAATATCATTTTCCTTGGATTTGAAAGGCTGCAGATCACAAATTCGACCTCAGACTATTCTTCACCTATGATTAAGTCCATTAAGCACCTATTTGGGCAGATTTAAATCGGGTCCATTTTTGACAGATTCCAAAGGGGTATCATCACAGATTTTGGGCGATTTTTCTGAAATACCATTTTCTTTCGATTCTAAAGGCTATGGATCACAGATCTTTCCCGAGGCTATTCTCCACTGGTAATGAAGTCTACTGATCATATTCTCTACTGATGATTGAGCCATTAAGTACCGATTTGGGAGAATTTATTTTTGTATGACATTTTCATAATTATTTGTGCGATTTTTTTGAAAAGCCGTTTTCCTTGGATTTTGAAAGCTACAATATCATGATTCGGCCTAAGGCTATTCTTAACCAATGATTAACTTCCTTAATCACCGATTTTGGCGGATTTCTTCCGGGTCCATTTTTGGCAGATTCCAAAGGGGTACCATCACACATTTTGGGCGATTTTTCCGAAATGGCATTTTCTTTCGAATTTGGAGGCTGCATATCACGTGTTCGGCCTGAGGCTATTCTCCACCCATAATGAAGTCTACTGATTCTATTCTCCACCCATTAAACACAGATTTGGGCGAATTTATTTTCGTCTGGCATTTTCATAATTATTTGGTCAATTTTTTTTTGAAAAGCCATTTTCCTAGGATTTTGAAGACTATATATCATGAATTTGGCCTGAGGCAATTTTTCAACAATGATTAAATCCATTAAGTACCAATTTGGGTGAATATCTTCCGGGGGTGGCTACTAGGGGTGGCTATACGGTCCGGTCTGGTTAAAATGGACCAAATTGATCCGGTCCTAGTCCGGTCTTTTCGGGAATATAAGGACCAAAGATTGGGTTGGATACAGTCCGGTCTTGATCCGGCCCGATCTTGACCCGGTCCGATCTCAATTTTATCTTGATTTTAAGTGTTGGGTGTCTTTTATCCGGTCTTTATCCGGTTTTTTACCTCAAATCTAAGCCCGAATATGAGATTGCATTGTTTGCTATCCGGTCCCGGTCCGGGTTATACGGTCCGGTTTCGGGTAAAACCAACCAGTGCGGGACCAAATAGCCAGCCCTAGTGGCTACTTTGGTGCACTCACTTTTTTGGGTGCACTCAGTGCACCCAACTCTAATAGCGTCCATAATACATCAAATTTTGAACTTTAATTAGTACTCTCAATCTAATATGATGATATGACATAGAATCATTACAAATCAATCCATTACCCTAACCCCTTAACCTTCAATTTTGAATCCCAAACCAAAATCCCAAATTGTAAACCTAAACCCTAACCCTAAATCCCTAAATCCTTCGAATTAAAGTAAATTTTGAATGAATTTTTTTTTCAAATTCATGTGCTTCTTGTTCATAATATCATAAGCAACAATTGATACCGTTTTGACATAAATCGCATGGTCAGAATGACAATTATGAGGCGGGTGCACCCGAAAAAGTGGGTGCACGAATACGTCACTATCTTCCGGGTCCATTTTTTGCATATTCCAAAGGGGTACCATCACAAATTTTGGGCATTTTTTTCCAAAATGGCATTTTCTGTCAATTTTGGAGGCTGCGAATCACGGATTTGGCCTTAGGCTATTCTCTACCGATAATGTTGTCTACCGATCCTATTCTCCACCGATTTGGGTGAATTTATTTTTGTATGATATTTTCGTTGGATTTTGAAGGCTACAGACCACGGATTCGGTCCGAGGTTATTCTTCAATGATAATTAAGTCCATTAAGCACCAATTTGGGCGGATATCTTCCGAGTTCATTTTGGCATATTCCAAAGGGGTACCATCACATAATTTGGGCGATTTTTCCGAAATAGCATTTTCTTTCGATTTTAGAAGCTACAGATCACGGATTCGGTCCGAAGCTATTCTCCACCGATAATGAAATCTATTGATCGTATTCTCCATTAATGATTAAGCCATTAATCATATATTTGGGAGAATTTATTTTTGTATGACATTTTCGTAATTATTTGGGTGTTTTTTTTTTCGAAAGGCCATTTTCCATGGATTTTGAAGAATACATATCACGAATTCTGTCCGAGGCTTTTATTCAACGATGATTAAGTACATTAAGCACCGATTTGGGAGGATATCTTCCGGGTCCATTTTTGGATTCTATAAGGGGTACCATCACAGATTTCGGGCAATTTTTAAGAAATCTCATTTTCTTTAGGTTCTATAGGCTACAGATCACGGAATCATGCCGAGGCTATTTCCACTGATAATGAAGTGTATTGTTCTAATTCTCCACATATGACAATTCCATTAACCACAAATTTGGGCCAATCTATTTTCGGTTGGCATTTTCGTAATTTTCGGGCGACAAAAGGCCATTTTCTTTGGAATTCGAGGGCCACAGATCACGGATTCGGCCAGAGTCTATTCTTCGATGATGATTAAGTCCATTAAGCACCGATTTCGGCTGATTTATTGCGGGTCAATTTTTGGCAGAATCCAAACGGGTACCTTTTCAGATTTATGGCGATTTTTCCGAAATGCCATTTTCTTTCGATTATGGAGGCTACAAATCATGAAATTATGCTGAGGCTATTCTCCACCGATAATGAAGTCAATTGATCTTTTTCTCCACGGATGATAAGTCCACAAAGCACCGTTTTGGGCCAATCTATTTTTTGATGGAATTTTCGTAAATTTTTGGCGACAAAAGACCTTTTTATTTGGATTTTGAGAGCTATAGATCAAGCTTTCGGCCTGAGGCTATTCTTCGACGATGATCAAGTCCATTAAGCACTGATTTGGGCGGATTTATTTCTGGTCTATTTTTGGCAGAATCCAAAGGTCTATAGCCTTCAAAATCCAAAGAAAATTGTATTTCGTCTCACAAAAAAATACGAAAATGCCATCCGAAAATAAATTGGCCCAAATTGGTGCTTAATGAACTTATCATCCGTGGAGAATATGATCAATAGACTTTATTATCGGTGGAGAATAGGCTCGGCCTGATTCCGTGATCTGCAGCCTCCAGAATCGAAAGAAAATGGCATTTAGGAAAAATCGCCCGTAATCTGTGATCGTACCACTTTGGAATCTGTCAAAAATGTACCCGGAATAAATTCGCCCAAATCGGCACTTAATTGACTTGATCATCGTTGAAGAATAGCCTCAGGTTGAATTTGTGATATGCAGCCTTCAAAATCAATGGAAAATTGCCTTTCTTCGCCCAAAAATTTACGAAAATGCCATCCGAAAATAAATTGGCCCAAATCGGTGCATAATGGACTTATCATTCGGATCAATAGACTTCATTATCGATGGAGAATAGGCTTGACCTGATTCCGTGATCTACAGCCTCCAGAATCCAAAGAAAATGGCATTTCGCAAAAATCGCCCGAAATTTGTGATGGTACCCCTTTGGAA